TTTCTGTCTCTCAACCTTGCTGAAGGAGATAATGCTGGGCAGAAGAGTTCAAGGAATCAAGGAGGCAGTAATATTCATGGATAAAGGGATGCATTTTCAAAGGAAGACATTTTCTAGCAAGGTCAGAGTTCTATTTGTGAACATTATTGAGTCATTCTTGGTGGTAGTGTTTTGACACAACCTGAAGTGACCCTGCTTTGCCCGACCAGCTTAGTCCTTCATTTGCTTTAAGAAGTATATCTTGAGATTTGGCTTCCATTTGTGAACATCAGAGAGGTTCAGTTGTTGGCAAAACCCCTATGGATGTGGGTGTGGGGGGTGTCAGAGACAAAGGAAATGAGGTTTTGGAAGGCCATGAACACAGGTGCCTTTGTTGCTCTTCACTGACACTCTGGACTTTGTCTCTTGGCTCCCAGGAAGTCATCTCCTACTATTCCCAGTATTCCCTAGATGAAAAGATGCGCAGTCACATGGCCCTGGACTGGATCATGAAGGAAAAGGAGTCACCAGGAATCCTCTCTCAAGAGCTACGGATGGCCCTGAGGGAGTTGGAGGAAGCCAGGAAAGCGGGACAAGAACTGCGGTTTTACAAAGAAAAGAAAGAAATCCTGAGTTTAGCCCTGACTCAGATCTACAGTGATCCTGACACCTCCTCACCCAGTGATGATCAGCTGAGCCTAACAGCTCTCTGTGGCTACCACTAGCAAGGCCAGGTCCCGGCTGCCCCGAGGTTGGCAGAGCCTGGACTCTATAGGAAGCTCAGTGAAGGAGGTCATCAGAGGCTTTAGCACCTACAGCTACTACCTGAAGGCTGTACTAATTTTTCCCATCCATTCCATTCACAGAATCTGAGAGTAGTAGGACCTTTACAGGACCCAGCATTCCACTCGATGCAATTTTCCCATCATGCTTTCAAGAGTTCCACCTCTTACTGAAAGGATGGAGACAAGATTGTTGGAAAAATATTTTCCAGGTTTGGCTTCAACTTAAAGCCCTGTTGACATGTGCCTTGCTAGATTATATGTGTTGTTTTAAACAATGGGCCAATGTAGCATCCCCCAAAAGGACATCAGCCAAGACTGGTGAAAGTAGCATGATAGCAATTTTTAAAAATACTTGGGGTTAAATAAATGATATAAAAAATACCATGGGTCGGAGTTTCTTCCTAAGCTTTATAAGCTAAGAGGTACTTATACTCTACTGGGTATAATCCAAAATTACAGTGGGGATTTTATCTGGACATCCTACTATCAAAGATCATAAAGTGATAATAGTATGAAAATAACTTGATAAATTTAATTTGCCTTAAAATGCCAGTAATAATCATTTTTTTAAATCTACACTCTTCCATCTGGGGATGTCACCTAGAGTAGTACCTTCACTTGTATTCCTCAAGAAGAATTAATATCTAATTTTTATGAGTCCTGGAGTCAGTCATGTTCATTTATAATTTTCAAATAGATTACTTGAACTGATTTGTTTTTATTTTTGCCACCAGAGTCATATATTTATAACGGAGAAAATTACTGGCATTCTAAAGGTTAAAGCATTTTGAAAAGTCATTAGCTTTTAACAGTGCTTGTGTTTGATTAGTTTCTCATGCATTAGAGAGGAGTCTTTAGCTGTCTTTTGTTGTTGTTCAAGAATATGAGCCATGAGTAGTTCAAATGTAGTGTCATTTTTAGGTTTTAATTAGGCATCTCTCTTTGAAAATGGCTTGATTAGAAAACCAAAAGCAAATACAGATCAATTTTTGGATAGTTTCTGGTTGCTCAAGTTTAAGAATGGCAGTGGTATCAATTTTAAACATTTGTAGGAATTTCCATATTTATAACATGAAAAGGATTATCTTGCATTTAGTCCAAAATTTCAAAATAAAGAACACAGTTTTTTCAATGTTAAACAAGGTTTCCTTTTCTTCATGTTTAAGCAAATGCAAACTAAGTTTCCTGAAGGCTAAAACCACTACTTTTACATTAAAATTTACAGAAGTGTGATAGTTTAACTTCATATCTAAATATGTACAGACGTAATTGTCACTCCTTAAGTCTCCGTGAAAACTATGTATATTGATCATGTATTTTGGAAGTAGCCTTGATAATAAAAAATTAATTTCATATGTCATATTTCTCATACCAGGGGAGAACTTAGCTTCATATCTGCCCTACTCTAATGTGGAAAGGTAATACTATATAATATTAGATAAATTTAATTTTAAAATATTATTTTAACAAATGTCATATTCCTCCCCATAGTGAGGCTAAATGTCACCTAGAATAAAACTGTATTCCCTTATAATCCCAAAAAGGAATTAGAATTAATATTTGTAAGTTGAATAAATTTTAAAATTAAGGAAACTTTCTATTTAAAGTAATTTTTTCATAAAGTCATTAGTCTTTATCATTTCAAAAAGCCATAATTTCCCATGTTGGGTGTATTTAAAGGTAGGTATATCTTTGCTAGCATTTGCAGACTTTGACAATGTGCACCTCAAGTTGACATCATCTAATTAGATGCAGGAACTGGAATCAGCTGGGAAAATAGTAAATTTATTTTCCACCTTACAATCAGAAAATTGCACCATTCTGTAAACTAAAAGCAGAGATTCTCCCTTGGCCAAAGGCAGTTTTTCCCCAGCCGGTCAAAACTGCCCACTCTTCCTGGAATGGCATGGAACCTACAGCAAAAGCAACAAAAATCAGAATCTTTGCCGTTGCTGAGCCCTTTGATGCTCATTTATAGCAAATCAATGTCAGCTAAGACATAAGTTACATCAGTCAATACCTGTCAGTACATCACTTAAACATTTATAATTCCGGACCCAATAAAAGCCAGGTTGAAAAGCAAAGTAGATTATTACTATTTTTCCTTTTCTGTATCTTGTTCTCAGTGACATACTGTATTAAAGAGGATTGCAGTGGAGGATACTCTATTTAAATATATGGAGCTCTGGGTCCTAAACTTTTGTGGTTATAACCCCTTTGAGAATCCGATGAAAGTCATGGACCTCTTCGTAGGAAAACAGAGTGTGGTAGATACATTCAAATTTGCACAGTTTCAGAGAGTTTGTGGACTTTTCCAAAGTCCATGGATTGCTCTGTCCAAGAAGCTCCAGTTTAGAACTCTTAATTTTGAGCACAGACTTACTGTCTCTTAAACTTTTCAGCAGGGATCCAAGCTAGTTCAGACATAGCCCCATGTAGCCTATTTCTAAGATAAATGTCATTTTCCTTACATACAGAATTGTACTGTATCTTGACAAGAGATAGTTTAATTTTCACAAAATCCAAATATACCAAATTGTTATGAAAAAGCAGCTGAAAGCAAGCAAGTCACTAAATGTGTGTGAACCTATCAGAATATTACCGATTTAATGAAGTCATTGTTCCTCTAATGATCAGAATTTGGTTGTCCATTTGTTCAAAAGCTATAGTCTACTGATATGTTTTCTGTTAAATTCATTCACTTACCTCTACAAAAGGAGAAGAATAAAATCACAAACATTCTTGAAATGCTGTACCCATATCAACTTTGAATCTGATCACTTATGTCTCAGGGAAAAGAGGAAAAAAGCATATAAAGATTAACACTTCCCTGTTTCTTTGGGGGAGACTTTTGAAGCTAGCAGTATTGGTGTAGTTGACTTTATCTCTGAAATGCTTTAGAGAATTCTGAGTTATATCATGCCATGCCTTTCTTTCTTGCCAAAGGACAAAAGAAGCCAAAGAATATTTTCATTATCCTTGACTATGTTTACAGGTAAACACTATTCAAGATATTACCACTTATATATTGTTGATACTTTTTTGTTTTGCCTTGCAGAAATGCAAATATTAAGTTTTCTTCTATGGCGTCTATGGTGTTAAAGAGTGAATACCGTTTTTAGCCAGGGCTCTTAGGAACATGAAAATCATTTTCTCTACCACAGTGGTTCTCAACTTTGGCTGCACATTAGAAATAATTAAGGAGCTTTAAAAAATCCTAAATGTCTAGACTATACCCAGACCAATGAAATCAAACTCTCTGGAAGTGGGGCCCTGGCATCAGTATTTTTTAAAACTCCCCAGGTCGTTTCAACGTGCAACAAGGTTTGAGAATGACTGCTCTATCCAGGAAGGTCTGGCCCAAAGGTCCTTGGCCTAACTAGTGGGAGCTATTGCTCCACTTGGCCTTGGCCCCAATTCAAATGTTGAGCTCCTCTGAGCTAGGTAGGACCTGTTTGAGCAACAGGCTTTCCTGCAGCCCAGAACTAAAGCAGGGCAAGCACATGCACACACACACACACACACACACACACACACTGTATCTTAGCAGTACAGCCAGATTCTGCCCCAGGGTTCAGGCTTTCCTTCTCACATATGATACATAAAATATCCATACCAGAATCATCTGGGGTACTCATTTAAAAATAAAAGTTCCTGGGTCACACCCAGACCTGCTGGCCAAATTACTGGAGAAGGTCTGGATAAACCTTACCACTTTACCAGGTGTTTCTGATCAAACTTAAATTTGAGCTCTTTTGGCCTAAAGCAACCTAACATGTTCTTTAGTGGGCAGCACAGCTCTGCCCCTTTGGATGTAACCAGCCTCCTGGGGTAAAGTGCAGAAAGGAATAAAGGAGAGAAGGGAATGTTGCCCCCTCTACACTTTCTGGAAGCTGGAGAAAAACAGAAGGGGCAAAGAGAGATGGCTGCCTTTTTTCTACCGAAAGAGCAGCTCCCACTCTTTTATCACTTTGGCCTTAACATTTGTTATTACTTTTAATCCCTTTACCAGAGACCATGGAAATCTCTTTTAGCTCCTGTTAAAGTCGCTTCTTTAAGCCTGACTAAACCCTGGTAGCACTTTGTACTTTGGAACAAAGTAAGTTGTGGGAAAGGCAAGCAGAAGCTTCTTCCTGAGAGCTGTTGATCTGTTGATTCTCTAGTGGTTTGCAAGGGAAAATTGCGAGATATATATATATATATAATCTATTTATAATATAGATTTATATAATATATAATATCTATTTATAGCGGTTCCCAATTGTAGCAGCAATTATGTACCACAAATACATTTGTAAGTCAGATGTTCAACCCTGAGGGTGCATTTTTCTATAAAAGCAAAGTCATAAATGGTGGCAAGTTTCCTGAGCTAGCCTACATAAGCAGTAGGGCACCTCAAATATTGATCTATGGAATCTAACACATTTTTAGGTTGTGGGTGGGCAGGGGAAGGTAGAACAAGGTTAGCTGTGGGTCTAGGGTATAATATTGAAAACCTCCCGGGATGTATTTCTCAGCCCCAAACTGGTTCTCCAGTCTCTTTATTTTCTCTTTGCCCCCCCCCCATAGATTACCTTTCCAACACCCCACCCACTGCCATCACTTGTTGCTTCTTCTGATCAAGGTTTCTTCCACTTGCTGACTTACTGAAGAAAAGGTAACTTTTTCCTGCCTTCTTACAAACTCTGAAAATTTCTAAGAGTTGGTATCACTAGAGAAACAGGAATATTTGTGTGACCTCCAAATGGCAGCTACTAAGCTTCTCTGCAGACTATTTTCACCAGGGCTGGTGAGGAAAGACACAGACACACAAAGCAGGACTACACTGAACAGGGTAGCCATGGAACCTGTCCCATGCACCCATACTCCTAAGGTTTCCTGCTTCTTTGGTGTTCTCATTGGGCTCCATGTGACACTTCCCCATCCTGATCACAGTTGCCCCATAACTAGCCAGTGATTCTGGGTAACTTGGCTCAAAACTCCAAACTGGACTGATCAGTCTCTCTCCTCAGGAATGTGAACTAAGAAACATGGAAGGAATTTGCCAGGTTGAGTTGGGAGAAGAAGCTGGAAGAGTCACCTTCACGAGAGTTGTGGTCTGTGCAAGCACAAGTAAGGAGGAAGAAGGAACCATGAGTCAGTAGAGGATGCTGCTCTGTAGAAAGAGGAGACGCTGACTAGTGCAGAGAGCAGATGCAGAGAGAGGCAGAGATGCATGGAGAAGGTGAAAGCGTGAAGCCCATGAGGGGATGACAAGAGCTGCTGGCCCAAGTGCCCTGCAGTAAATTTTCTTATTTTTTATCTGAGTGGATCACATACCTTGCGACCAAAGAAATCGGACCTTACTCGTTCAGGGAAAAAAAATCACGCTATATTATTCTGGATTTTTTTTATCCTCCGAGTAGAACCCCCCAAAAAAGAAAAAAAAAAACAAAAACCCGACATGAGGAAGAGCCTTTCAAGTGATAAAAATGCTGCTGAGAAAAGTAGATCTAAAGCTGGTGACAGAGTTGACTTTTCCCCACTCACTGCCCCTCCCATTCCAATGTCAGTTCTCACAGTGTTCAGGAATCCTTCCAATTCTGAAATAAATTTATGTATTATGTGCTAATCATCCTGCCCTTGCTCCCCTACATGGAAATTCCTGTGTTCTCATGTTCTTTGGAGGTATAACCACAGAAGGCAAACAGAACTCTATTTTTAAAAAGACAGAATTCATAACCTCAAATAACTGTTGTCTTCTTAAAAAATTAGTTACCTCAGGAAACTAATAACACACTTTGACAATGCTCAAGAATGCAATCTTTGCCAAAGACATTCCAGTCATGAACTCGTCTTTGGAAATGGTCCTCTGAATTCATGTGAGCAAAGGAAGAAGAAAAGCAGTGTCTTGTTGGCTGAAAGCTCCGTGCCATCCTGAACCGACTAGTTTATCTTAGCATCTGGACTATTAGATCAAATACTTAGCAGGTGCTCAATGAATGTTTCTTCAGTAGAAATTTGTTATCAGTGTGTTGGTACCTTCCTTACTCCTTGATGATGAGTTAATTCGTTCATCAGACCTGGCTTTGTTCTACTCAACTGGTCAGGACTTACATGGTTGTAAGGTAGAAACCCAAAACGAGCCTGCTAAGCAAAGGGGGAGTTCATTGGCTTGTGACACAAGAATGTTTGTTCCAGGTGCATTTGTATCCAGAAACACAAACCAGGACTTGATCTCTCTCATGATATTGATGTGTACATATGTGCATACATGTGTATCATTGCTCATTTCTCAAATCAGCTTTCTTTTGTGTTGGCTCCATTTTTAGGCAGCTGTCTCCTTGGAGCAGCGAGATGGTGACCAGCAGTTTCATGCTTCCCTCGTAACAGCAGAAGAAATTCTCTTCCCCGCAGTTCAAATCCAAATTCCAGAACTGAGTATAGTGGTGTTTTAGTTCAATCAATCACTGTGCCATTCCTGAGTCACATGTCTGTCCCCCTAAAACTAGTGGTCAATTCATCCCATCTAAACAATGTAGACTTAGTGGAGAAGGAGGAGTCACCTGAGGTAAATATGGGTTCAGTTACCCAAGTGAGGAAATGTGGCCATTTCCCAAGACATTTTAAAAATATTTGTCCTTGGGCGCCTGGGTGGCTCAGTTGGTTAAGCGACTGCCTTCGGCTCAGGTCATGATCCTGGAGTCCCTGGATCGAGTCCCGCATCAGGCTACCGGCTCAGCAGGGAGTCTGCTTCTCCCTCTCCCACTTCCCCCTCTTGTGCTCTTTCTCTCTCTCACTCTCTCTCTCAAATAAATAAATAAAATCTTAAAAAAAAAAATATTTGTCCTTAAGAGCCTTCAGAGACAGAATGAACAATAGAAGAAATGCAGTCTCTCCAACCATTAATTGGGGAAAAGGAATCAGGGTAGACAAAAAATAACAGATGTCCACTATGAATACATTGTACCATTTCCAAAAATCAAATCCATCCTCAAAGGACAAATTTTGTCACCATTACAGATGTTCAAAAGAACATTCTCCCCTGAGGGGAAGTCTAAAACTGTTTCCAGACCAATCACGTCACTAGACTAAGCATACAAGTTCTCTGAGGGCTCGGCTGAAGGGGCCAGTGCTCATTTATATGTAAGAGTTCTGTCATGTGGAGAAGCCTAATCACTCACATTAATCTGCAGTCACACTTCATACATCTTCCGTGTTGATGAATCATTGCTATGAAAGTGAGTTAGGAAATTTCCTCTAGTCTATTTCTGGTGGGCCCTGGCTTTCATTATCAGTGGCTGCTAACGCTACTTAACAGAAAAGAAAACAGTTGATGCCACCGATTGAAAACAGTTGTGGCAAAACTGGACAGTTCATAGCCTGGGTACTTTATTTGCCCTTACTTATGGCTGAGCACCTTGCAAGCTTAAGAATGGCTCCACGCTGACCCATGAGTTGTGACATAAAATGATTTTGGAAACAGTTTATTCTGAGGCAATCCATGGTGTTTCTTCCAGATATTCCCATGTTTCCATGTAGTGATTTGTTAGTTTATTTCTGCAAGTGAACAGGCTGTACTTAGTGCAAGCAGGTTTTTGTAGGGAAATCTTGAAAACACAGGTGACCCAATGAAATACCAGACCACCAGGAGAGTTGAAAAGTCAACCTGAAGCCATAATGAACTAAAACTAAAAAATGGGAGTGATTTTACCCTTTCAGTTAATCTTCTCTCAAATGACCTGGGAATTTTGTCTTATTTATTTATTCACTGTGGCTACTTAGATTTTTAAAAATGTTTTTTGGCTTTTTTTTGTCCACGAGGCCACCAAAGCAAAAAAATCCAAAAAATGGGAGAGGAGAGTTCAATTCTTTTAAAGGCTGAAATGGATTCTTTTATTTTCAATGACGACTCATATCAATATGTTTGTTAAAGATGAGGTCATTAACGTCGTGAATTAGAGTAAGACAATCATACTGCCTTTCATCCAGAGCACTCTAACTGGGAATATGTTCGGCATCCCTTTTATTTTCTTCATGGAAATCCAAGGACAGTAGCTCCTTGCCCATTTTACCAGTCATCTGTGAAAAGCCAAGGGGGCTCAGCTCTCACTCTGCTGAAAAGAGGCTTCAGTAGGCTATGTCTCGCCACAAGGGCAACTTCGTCCCAGGCATTGCAGGTGTCACAAACGTTGACAGTAGGATTGGCAGGGTCTAAAATGAACGGCCTAAAACAAAACAAAACAAAACAAAACAAAACACAAAACTATCCACGTCTGAAATCGGTTTTGATTTGTTGTATAGTGAGAAAAGGGGATGTCAGAGTTAAAGAAGGAAGGTGGTTAAGAAAAGGACTCTTGGAAGGGTGGAAGCAAGTCCACTGCAGGCTAATACCCATCAGGAGACAGCATCTTGCTTCTGCCCCCGCCCCCCCCAACCCAACTCCGATGCCCTCTCATTTTTCCTCTTCACCTCCGGAGGCATTTCCTCCCTGATTTCCTGTCTTCAGTTTCCTCCCCGCTTTCCTGTCTTCAGTTTCCTCCCCATTTGCCATGTGTATCCACAGTTGATTCATTCTACTCAAATTACTAATAATTCACACTTGAGAATTAAAGTTCTGTGAGAAGTAATCAAAGGGAATTGACTTTATGCTAATTAAGGCCTTCTCATTTACAGTGAATCACAATCAAGCTGTTTTTGCTCCAGACTTTTCTTTCTGGATGGCAAACATGCTTCCTCTATCCTAAGAGCATAGAAAAAGATAAATAGTTACCTTGTGTGTTTCTGGTTCACCTTTACAAAAATGGGGAACTTGGGATGGTAGTGTCTGTGCCAAACAACATCAATTTCTGCATATCGAACCAGAAGCTTGAGGACTGCCCTCATTCCCTGCACCAGGCTGAAGAGCAGCGGCTTTCCTGCCAGCTCCCAGATGTGAATGGTGAGGAGCTCCACTGTGTAAGAGGAGGGAAGTCTCCGGAACCTAGACACACAGGATGAAGTGTTGTCTACTTCCTTAACCCAGAAAATGAAGACAGATTTACTCAGGTAGGAGAAAAATTTCAGCCCAACAGGCAATTTACGGAAGAAGAAATTCTATTTTCAATCTTACTACTTATCAAACAATAATTTTCCACCCCTCAGATTGGCAAAATATAAAGAATTATAATATCCAACATGGGTGAGTTTGTGAGAAAATAGTCTATTGGTGAAAAGGTAAATTAATACACTCTTTTTTGTAAATTAATACAGTCAACTCTATACAAATTTGATATGTTCCTTCCCTTTCATCAGCATTTTCCACTTCTATTCCTTCTGTAGAGAATGTGGCTAGTCTGACTTGAGCACACACTGAATTTTGAAGACTTATATTTTAAAAAAGGGAAAATATCCCTTAATAATTTTTATATTGATTACATGTTGAAATGATAACATTTTGGACATAGTGGGCTAAATATATTATTAAAATTAATTTCGTCTATTACATTTTACCCTTCTAGATATTGCTACCAGAATATCTAACAGCATATGTGGTTTGTATTTGAACCTCACGTTATATTTGTCTTGAATGATTGATTGCACTGTGCTGTACAGTTGTTAAAAGAAAGATCTCTAAGATCTCTAGATACAGATATAAAAAGATATAGATTAAATGAAAAACAATTTTCATAGTGATACATAAAGTGCAAACCCATTTGTTCTTTGTTTTTTAAAAACTAAGCATACATAAAAAACAAATTTGGCAAAATATGTCCTAAACATTGTTAGGGAGGTGGGAATTTGGGGTAAAGAAGGAAAATTTTTATACATTAATCTTTTAAATTGCAGCTTATGTACATCAGGGAAAAATAAAATAAAAATTAAAGCTGAGGGTTAAAAACAAACTCATGGGAGAAAAAATAAACCAAATCAGATAGTTTCAGGATTTCATGTTGGTTGATATCTAATATGTATTTTTGTTGCCTCGGCATTCATTAGCCATAGCAATCTCTTTGGGGATATGTTGCAAAATCAAGCAGTTTTTTCCCTAACAGAATGAAAATATTTTTGTACTATCACTATTGGTCATTTGTTTTTACTTAAGTAAAGGAAATAGGAAAAACTAAAAGTAGAAAAAATTTTTTGTCCCGGTAATGAAATAGCAAACCAGATTTCAGCTGATCAATAATTCAGTTCTTGCTATACTCCCTTAGGGGTTGACAACAACAAACACCAGACTTCAAATCCATCTCCAATTGAACGAGCTAATACTCCCATGTGCCAAAAGAAGCCATGGTTGAAAACCACTCAAGCAGGAGATGCTCTTCATATTCCATGAAAGTAAATGTAGGGGGGAGAAAGACATTTTACGGCATGTTTACATGGGTAGTTACATACCTCTGACACGTGTCCATACTATCTTGTGTTCTATTTGAGCCCTTTGACATCATTTCATTTAACCCTTTCCACGTGTTATGTGCTCCCAAATTTGTCTTGAATAATATTTCAGCATATCTGTGTGCAAGTTTGTTTGCTCTTCAGGAGCATTTCTGTTGTTTCTAGTTTTCCTTATCTTAGGCAGCACAATTCTGACCATATTTACATGAATTCCTTTTTTTAAATGTGATTTATTTTCTCCAAGGTTGGTTCTCTAGGTATTTCTTAATTTTTTTTTACACCTTTATTTTTAGTACTCTTTTTTATGACATTTTTAATATAAATGGCCTCAACTCTTTTTTTTGAAATCAAGTAATAAGTAAACATTTTTTTTTACTTTTTACTATCACTTTTTTTTAATATAAGGGAATTACCTTGACAAATAGTTTGAATATTTTAAAATCCTTAACACATAATATTTAATACATTACCAGATTACTTTCCCAAATTAGAAAACCAATTACCATATCGTAACATATGTGATGCAATTTCCCCACAATACCACCCTTTTTTAAGTCTTAGAATTATTGTTCTGCTATATTAATAGATAAGTTTCTTTTTCCAGACCTATATGCTCTCCATTAAAAAAAAATAAGTGTTATATTTCAAAACCAGGGCTGTCATCTGCCAAGGATCTACTTAGGCAAGAAGCTTTATTTCTTTGTTCTTCTATCTTTAATAATAAATTTTTACTCAACCAAATGAGAAAAAAACATACAGAATGTGTAGAGATATTTAGATATAGGAGATAATTATACAGAAATAATACGTGTTTGGGCGCCTGGGTGGCTCAGTCGTTAAGCGTCTGCCTTCGGCTCAGGTCATGATCCCAGGGTCCTGGGATCGAGTCCCACACTGGGCTCCCTGCTCGGCAGGAAGCCTGCTTCTCCCTCTCCCACTCCCCCTGCTTGTGTTCCTGCTCTCGCTATTTCTCTCTCTGTCAAATAAATAAATAAAATCTAAAAAAAAAAAGAAGTAATACGTGTTTTTGCAAAGTGACTAATATTTTCAATGGTAAACAGAAAAATATACAAAGAATAGAGTATATGATTCAGATGAACAAATCAAGAGTATTAGCAACTTCATGCAAAGACAAAGACATATTCCTTGTAGAAAGTGCCGTATATAAATATGTTGTAGTAAATCCCCTGTCTCTGCTATTTCTGCCAAATGGAGAATTCATTTCTACTTCTTTACCAAAAGTTTATCTTAAAATCCTCAAAGGAGTCACTGAGTCTCCCTCACATCCCTTCATCATAAGTTAGAGCCTGTTCCTACCAAAGGCAAGGGAAGATACAAGAACATGCACCCGCAACTTGAGGACCCCAGCTCTCTGAAAGACAACTCTGCCTTATCAAGAACCAGCTACAGAGGAAGGAAAAATTGAGGCTTCAAAGAGTAAACACCCCATTCAAATTGTGCTAGTAGTTTCCCTTTCCTTTTTCCTGTGCCTTCCTTCTTTGCACCAATCCATCTGGTTATGCCACTAAATATTTTTGTTTCTGTTCTTTGGTTCCTACCAAACCATTATGTTGTTTTGGAATAATGTAATACACATGTTCCATATTCTGGACAGCCCTTTCTCTCTCTCTCTCTCTCTCTCGCCATATATTCCCTCTCCTCTGCCTACCAAGGAAAGAGGTGGGGCCTGGAAGTGTAAAGGAAAGAGATATGAAAAGAGGAAGGCTCACTTGGTGCCCATGTGCTGGTACATACTTATTTTCCTCCATGGACCTGGCAAATGATGTCTTGAACCAGTGTATCATTAAGCGAGTGAGCTCCTTCACCCTTGCCACAGACGCCTTGACAAAATCCACTTGGTCTGGCAAGAGGGCCAAGGCACACAGCTGCGCCACGTCCCTGTCGTCACAGAGGTACAGTTTGCGGTAAAGGTGAAGTTTTAAACCTGTTCACACCAAGGAACAAAGACCATTGTGAGTATTTGCTCCCTCCTCTCCTTTCCTGGTTTCCCCTGATACAAATGAGCTATGTTACTCTGATTAATTAGACCGTGGTCATTCAAAACTAAACAGTTTTTTTTTCTTTTTAGGGAAGTCGTTTGGGTTTACCCAAGTCATTAAAAGAGAAAGCTTCAACATCATGATGCCGGAGCAGTTCAAATGAGCAAACTCTGGTACAAGCAACTCTGATGAGGCAGATTTTCTGTCTATTTGCAGAGGAAGTTTACTTCCCAGAAGCATATTTCATTACCTTATGCAAATATAATCTACATATAAGCTAAATGTCATCAGGCTCTCTCAACAATAACCTATATAATCCCCCTTGTTTAATATCTAAATTGTCCCTATTTGTATACATACTTGCAGAAGAGATTCTACTACCTGGACTCTTGAGGGAATTTATTATATTTATAAAGGTAGAGATGATTTTAAAGATGTATTTAGGTCAAATTTAAAACAAATAATCCATTTCAGTTAGTGATAGACTAAAGAGGGAGGAAAACTAAATTAAATGGCAAGAATGATCAAATAATCATCTGAAGCTTAATACTACAACTCAGGTTGTGCTTATTCTACTTGTATGAAATATAAATGTTTCGTATCTTTGATCGTAATCTATTTAAATTTTCCCAATTCAACACAATTAGAAGTTCTAATATGAATTTATTTTGGACAGCCCTTATATTTACCTATCCTTCTGCCCAACTAAATTGTCACACAATGACACCCTTGTTAATTGTGGCAAATTTCAAATCTACAATACATATTTTAAAGTTAACTTGGGCCAGGAATTTTATTTTACTTATAAAATACATTTTACAAAAATAAAACTTATATGCCTTGATCTAGATTCCTAATTTCAAACATATCTGTACAGTCTTTTCATACTGGTCCAGCTGATGAGGGTCAAATCAGAGATATAATAGTAGGTTGATTATCAACAGATTAGAGAGTAAAGTCAAATTCCATAAGCGAATAGAGTTATATATGGCAAATATTATAACAAACATATTCTAGTCCCAAACTTCCCAAGCAACAATTATTAGAACTATTTAAAAAAAAAAAAAAAGACCTTTCAGTTTTACTGGGAGGCTCTCTGCCTTTCTTAGCAATCAGACTCAGACAGAAACTCAGATTTATGATGATAAAAATAAAAGAAACAGTAATTTAACTCAAATTTTGGTATCCAATAGGTATGTCAGGTATTTGATGACCTACTCTAGCTGATAAAATGTCAGGGATTATCTCCTCAAAGCCACCACTATATCAACATTTCCCCTCCTTCCAAGTTCTTCACGTAGGAACCCAAGTTAGGGGTCTCTAACTTATTTTTGAGGCTTATGATTTTTTGTTTCTTCTCTGTGTGACTTAGGTGAGTCTTTATTTTATCGCCATCATATCATCTCCATCACTTGTAAAACAGGAATACTTAGCTCCCTTGCTTTGAGTCAAATACTATTCTAAGTGCTTTATCATTATTAACACATTTACTCTTTGACATCCCTGAGATACAGGAACCACTATTCTCTCCAGCTTACAAATGAGGAAGTAGATTCCAAGAGGTAGTAGGCTGCCCAAAGTCAGCATGGCTGGGAAGTTAAGCCATCTGTTGTCACCTTACTGCCCTCTATTGCAGGTTAGATCTGAGCCCAAATGCTTCCTAACTAATGGCTAATTCAGGGGTTCTCAGACTTTAATGAGTACAAGAGTCATGTGGGAATCTTTCGATTTGCAGTTTCTCATTTAGTAGGTCTGGGATGGAGCCCAAAATTCTGTATTTCTAGCACGTTCCCAAGTGACGCTAGTAGTACTGATCTGAGAATCCTATCTGAGCAGGAATGTTGTCAATCATGGTCCTGTCAGATCCCAGGGCTCTGGGCTGCACTGTGGCACACGGGCCATGCTATTACTTGTTTAGCACATATGTAAGATGTGCAGGAATAACAACACGATGCCTGTGAAGATTTGAGGTGATCATCTGAGTCTTGCTCTGACAAGTATTAGTAACATAGAGTTGCCCACTAAAATTCCTTGGAATCCTAGGACTTGTCTGAGTTGCTGGACTGTTGTTGTCCTATAAAACCCACTCCCCATCCTCATGGAGAGAAGCAGGGCTACCTAAGAATTTCAGGCTTTTTCAGTTCATTTCACACAGCTGTGCTCAAGAACTTAGGGGACTTAGAAGCCAATGTAAAAATATGCTTCTTCTCCTCTGGGAGACATTTTCACTTGAGAACTACTGATATAGTCTCAAATCCTCAAGACGATTACCCAGGAGCTGCTGTTGGCTAACAACTGTGCTTTTGGAGTCTGCACACAAGAGAAAGAAAGCATTTGCACAAATACGAGAGCTTTATGAGCCTATGGTAAGACTTAAGGAGATAGAATTATCTTTTTTAAAAATAAATATTCATTGTACCAAGCATTTTGCTACATGATTTCAAATTAAATCTCATATTTTAATTCTGGCAACTATCTCTGTTTTATAGATGAAAAGAATGAGACTTGAGAGTTTTACCTGACTTACCCAAGGTCTCATAGATAATATGAAATAGATCTCGTATTTGGCTGCAAGCCCAGGGTGTTCTCTCCATTATAGAACTTGGATGTTGTATCAGACTACACAGGTCCTAGACAGTCTGAAGGACCTGGACTTACATCCCAGCCCTTGCACAGACTGGCTACATAACTGTGGGTAAATCACTTACATTTTCTAAGGCTCAATTTTTTAAATATTCAAACTGGAGATAGTAGCTTTCTTTTAGTTTTTTTTTTTTTGCAAGTCAAATGAGATCATTTAATCAGATTAACTTTAGGGCAATGAGAATTATGTATGGCATATAATGGGTGCTGGATACATCACAGCATTTCAGAAAAAAAAAAAAATCTCACAGGATCAGCAAGATTACAGAGCCAAGAGGACTTACCAGAACTGTAGGATACCCTAAGAGTCCACACTCCCTTTCCTAGTACCCTATCTTATCTCAGAGTTCCCCATACTTCTGTCTTATTACAGATGATGTGATATTAAAATGACCGTTTTATGTGTCTGTTTTCCCCTCCAGACTATAAACCCCCTCACGTCTTATTCATGTTTGTGTCCCCAGTGCTAATAGTCCCTAGAAGGTGGCAAGCATGCAATATATGTGTATTAACAAATTATAGCACAACAGAAGAGAATTTTAATATGGGCAGCACACTGTCCAACAGTACTGATAAGTAAGAGAACTACATCAAGAAAGTCAACATGTTCCTCTGGAGTCTGGCTGAGAGGGTAGGGCCAATGTTATGCTTATTTATTCCCTTTATTCCATAAACAGTTATTGAATAATAAAGTGCCAGGCACAAAGACAAAGCTTATGCTCAAGGAGCTCAAAGCACTGTGGGAAGCCAAACCTGTGCACAGTGACAATACAAGAGGATCGTGCTACGGCGGTGATACAAGGAGAAAGGAGAAAAGCAGAAGAGGCAGGTCTAGGAAAGATTAGAGAAGGAAGCTGAGCTGACACTGAGCTGAGTCTTGAAAGGTAAGCAGAAACTTCAAGGCAGGGTGTAGGATGAGGCAGGTTAAGAAAAATGTATCATTGGGGGCGCCTGGCTGGCTCAGTCGGGAGCTCTTGACTCTTGACTCGTGATCTCAGAGTCGTGAGTTTGAGAGCCTAACATTGGGTAGAGAGTTTACTTAAATAAACTGGAAAAAAAGAAAAAAAGTGTATCAGTGGAAACTGTGCAAAGAGAGACAGGAGAGAGCGTGGAGCTTTAGGGAAAAACAGATACTTCAGGATTACTGGGCTCATGAAACTCCTCTACAAAATGTGAGCTCCAAAAGAACAAAAAGCTTGATCTCCTATCTAATCCATTTTAAGTATTTACATGGTAGATATCCACAAATAATAGTCCAATGAGATAAATGAGTAGATCAATTAAAATGTTTGATACGTCCTGCTAAGCTACGGGAAGATCACTGGTCATGTATTGGCTCATGGCAGTTTCATATCCGCCTATCGCTGCAAAGAGAAAATATATATATATATGTTTCAAGTCAAGCAGAAGCCTAGATTCAACTTCCAAGTTCTCTGGAGAATGTATTTACAGCTACATAAATCACTTAGTCATTTGGGCTCTGCTTGGGCTACTATAACAAAATACCATAGACCAGATGGCTTAAATAACAGAAATGTACTTTTTCACAGTTCTGGAGGCTGAGAAGTCCAAGGTCAAGGTGCCGGTAGATTTGGTTCCTGGCGATAGACCTCTTCGTGGCTTGCAGTTGGCTGCCTCCTTGCTGTCACATGGCCCAGAGAGGAAGTTCTGGGGTCTCCTTGTCTTCTTCTCAGGGCACTAATCCCACCAAGGGGGCCCTAGCCCATGAACTCTTTGAAATCTGATTACCTCCCAAAGGCCTCTCCTCATAATACCATCACACTGCGGGTTAGGGCTTTGACATGTGAATCTGGAGGGGCCCACAACAGGTCCTTCATCTTCTTGCTTAATGGAGATACTTTATCCCCCCTCTTTATACGTATGACTAAATTTTATACATCATATATCATTCCAGATATCACATCTTAGGGATAAAAATAACATCACAATGGCCATAACAATGTCATTCTATGACTCTGCCCTTCTCATTTCCCATTTCTTGAAGGAGTTCCCTCAGATTTCTCCCCCATCTAAGATGCGCCCATTGACTAGCTCACATGTGCTTGCAGACTCTTTCTTTCTATACTGCATGCTATTTGCTATCACCACCTTCTCCCGATCTTCTGTGTAGTTCCATGTCTTCTGCAGCTGCTGTTACCGAAGGCACTGATGGTCCTACCAAAAACAGTAATGCCATCAGGGTGGTCATGCTTGCCAAAGGCACAACTTCTTCTGCCAGTACCAGGAAAGTAAGAGCATCAAGGAGAGAGGCCTGTTCTTGCCTCCTCTTCAGTCTGAGTGAGGGTGCTTCTCGGCTGTTCAGGCACCTCTGGACGCCTTCCCCGCTCACACAGTAACCCCAGAGCCACACTCTACCACCCAGGCTGCAAAGCCAGGCTGACCTGAGCTCTGGCTGCCAGAGCAGACAGCCAGGAAACAGCTCTTCTGCTTTTCACACACTTTTTGGAAATCTTTCTCCAAGAGACAGGGCTATGCGTCCACTGGTGCTGAGAATTAAGCACCTCTCTCTTCAACACTGATCTGTTGAGTTTGGGTCCATGTTGTGTTTCTAACCCATCTTTCCCACTGGAGGAGACTCATTTACCCTCTTGAGTCCGCCAGATGGTGGCTGAATCCTGTTGCAAACTCAACTTAGGCTCAAGTAGGGATTCCTGCGCTCTTTCTCTACTCCATTATAATGGACAAATAGTCAATCCTTGATCACACTTTTCAAATTAAAAACTGGCGGCATAGAGATGCATGGTGTTTACGTGCTATAGAAAAGAAAAAGGGCTCCTAAAAACACTCCATGTTCCAGTTCTACTGCAAGCAATCTGGTTCCCTAAGCCTTGTTCAATACTGCGTCCAGATATAGTCAGTCATCTATAAGTACAACCTGAAGAAGCAGCCATTTTAAGGCTTCCTGTGAAATAAGAAAAATACATCTTACCTGTGGAGGGGGCAGGCCCCAGGATGTCACAGTAGGCCATGATCTCAAAGGAATGCCTGTGAAGACCTTCGGTACATACAAAATTGAATCTTAAAGACAAGGGTGCTCTCTTTCCCATTAGGATCCTTAAAAAAGGAACATGACATGTCATGAGAAATAACAGAGAAAGGAAACACAAGATGATGTTCAATCATCCTTCCCCTTACTCTAGCCCTGCTACTCTCTTGGATATTTCTTGAACATTCCAGAAATGGTCCCTCCTCAGGGTCTTTGCAATTGCTGTTCCTATACCTAGAAGGTATACCTCATTGAAGATGATCCTTGTGGCTCCAGTCCTGGCTTTATTCAGGTGTCTGCTGCACCACTTGGCCCTTCCTGGAACCCTTTAAAACAAGAGCTCCCTCCCGGTTCCCTGCCCCCTTCCCCTGCTTTATGTTTCTTCATAGCATTTAGTCACCACTTGGCATTATATTACTTGCTTATTTCTCTCACTCTGGGGTGTTAGTTGAACAAAGGCAGGAGCTGTGTATGTTTTGTTCACTGCCCTGTCCCTAGTATCTGGCACATAGTAGGTAATTAACAAGTAACTATTAAATGAATTATCATCTGAATATGGATTGGGGCACTAGATATTACTAATCATGAATATGATGAAGTAAAATATTTTAAAAGAAATCAGACTTCTACTTCTGGATATAATGGAGTGGTTTGTAGAAGACTGGTGCTCATTAAGAACAACCAGATGATTAGATTTTAAAAACCATGTGTAAGCATATTTGAGAGGCACCAGGGAGCTGATGAAGCTGGAGAGGCTGAGGTCCCGTGAGGGTGGGGGCAGCATATCATGGAGAGGTGGACAGATACTCTGCTGCTTTCTTTCTGGGGACATAACACTGACTTGGGGAATAGACAAGAGGCTGAAAACATGGATTTTGTTTGGGCAAAGAGAAGCTGCTGGGATTAAAGAAACCAGCAGAACCCTGCCAAGCTCATGGGGCTGACACAATGTTAAGAGACTTGGAGGCCACAATCCTGATGAAAAGGGAAGGGTGGAGAGTTGAACCTGAAATATGACCTCTTCCCTCCAAACATCTGCTGAATTCTGAAGATGCTTGAGACAAGTATGGTTAAAGAAACAAAGCAGGACCTCTTGAAGAATTGAATGGGATTGTTGACAGTCTTGCCTTGCCGGGGTTAGACAACATGGATTAGGGTTCAGTCTCAAGGACTGAGGAGACAAGGACTAGGGAGAAGTCCCTGGTGAACATACTAGGTTGTAACAATGATCTATCAACTTGGCCACACATTAGAAGCACCTGGGGATCCTTAAAAAAAAAACAATGCTCTCGCCTTCACACATGTTTTTTTAATGGGTATGAAGAGTGACGTGGGTAATCAGCTCTCACTCTATCCATCTGGTGAAGAAAGAAAGAGTAAACCCTCTTTGGAAAAATAACATCGGCTAAAGCATCTAAGATTTTTTTATGCACGGTGTCCTGGCTTTAATCTTTAAAAATCACTAGGAATTCCAAGAGACAGGGCTATGGGAGACATGGCCATAGGTATGTGAAGCTTACTCGTGTGAATACCAGAGAGTTTGAATGAATTATTAGATCTACTGAGGAGTTCAGAGTTCTGGAATGGGTCAAGGTTAATGAGGATGTCAGTACTATCTTAGGCTACCCTGCATGCACCTTACAGTCCAATGAGTATCCCAAAAGATTTTTGCTAATATTATTAGTAGAAATGAGGCGTGGGTCATAGCAATGCCTGCTCATGAGCCCTCAGGTGATATTATTTGCCACTTCCTGTTCTTGTCAGCCCAGTCCCTGAACACATCTTGTCTTGTCCATATCTTATCAGGACAACTACCACGTCCTGTGATGTGGCTCTAAAAGCCTTAAGATGCTCTGCCTGGATAATAAAATGAAACAGAGAGTCTTGTTTTCAAGACCTCTAAATCAAAGCAATAAGAGATAATGAGAAGTCCCCATTATAACCATAACCATTATAAGCATGACACATATTTTATAGCCGTGTCTCCTTAAAATCTGAGAGTATGTTTTCCTATTGTGGTTTTTTAATAATAAACACACTGATGTGTAAAGAGAGGAGTACAGTTCCTCTGGTGTGTAAATGATTTCCAGTACCTTGGGCTTATTGGGCAAGTCTCCTGAGATTTCATTCACAAGCAGGGCCCAGCAAATGACTGACACAGAACAGTTGTTGTTACCAGTAGGTTAAGGCATAGACTAGTTTCAAAGGAAAAGAGTTTTTTTTTTTTTCCCCTCACACCCATCTCTCAAAATAGAGTAACTGAATAGCTTTAAAAATAACTGCAACAAATAATATATCACCAAAACCCAGGCATCAACTGAAACAATAAACTCTCTCAGTGGGTGGGAGTCAAAACCAACTGTCAGACCCACGTATCTGCTTCTTTTCCTGTTTAATTTAATTTTCCCTTCAAATGAATTGTGGTATGGTCTTGGTTGCTCTGAGTAGTGCAGAAGAAAGCCCCCAAAAATGCCTGCTGCATACAGATCTGGGCACAGGACAACACCTTGGACAGCCTGCCTCCTTCCCTGCCTTCACATTCCTTCCTCAGTTTGCCTCAAAGACTCATTCCTCAGCAAATATGCTCCTTTTCAGCCACCGGAACCATTCAGCAAAACAAAATGTGGGATAAAATAGATCCTGGGCTGAATTAAAACAATTAGTCCCTGGAAAAATCACTCGGGGGAAGAGAAAATGAATAGGCACTTAACAGGTGCAAAGGAAAGATGGTGGTTACCTGGGAATTCGGTTCAACTTTAAAGGGTTTCAATTAAATTATTTAATGAGTTGAAAGAATAGAAGGAACACAGATGAGAAAATGAGTTTGCTTGGTTTTAGTCAGGAACAATTAGAGCAAATGAACTAAGGTTTTCAGGGCTGTTATTTTTCATGGGTTTTACTTCAAAACTCATTCTGGAAATCCAAAAAGTAAAGATCTTCAAGGACTGTTTTTCTCCAGGAGGAAGGGCACCTGAGATATGGAGGAGGGGGAAAAGCTTTAGGGAGAGTGCGTCCATAAGGTTCGTTGAAGTTGGGTGGGCAAGGAGTATAGAAAAAGGACCTAACAGTGAAAAACAAATATTTTGATTCCAAATAAGGTCACCATGGGAAGGGTATAGCTTAACTCTTATTTTTAATGTGTCTTTAGAGTACATTAACATTCTGTTTTGATAAATAATAATAACAATGGTGTAATGTACCCTATAGTTTACAAATTTAATGGGGAAAACTTGGAAGAAGTAATGGGTAAATGAAAAACACATTCTCCCCTTTCTCCTTTTTGTTTTCTTTTGTCTTAAAGGTGGTCTTTCTCCATCCAAAGTGTAATCTAATGTGAAACTCCATCATTTCCCTTTCTGCCTTTCCACCAATGGACTTCATTATAGTCACCATCATGCCATTCATCTGACGTCTTTTGCTAACTACCACAATTTAGTAGGTGTTTGGTATTCCTGAAGGTAGTGCTCTTCAATAAAAGACACATTCAAGCTACTTCTCTGTACTCAGTTGAAGCAAGGGCTTCGTAATGAATCTATTATTTAAATTAAGAAACAGTCCTGGGACCCCGTTTTAAAACATTGATCTTATTTTCACATTCAAGTGGCACCTAGCTTGGTCTCTTTTTCTCAGTAAAAAATGTTTTCTTTGTTTTACAACACAGATATTTGCATTTTTCTTCATCCACAATTCACTAGACTGAAAAAAATAACAGGAGATGTAAAAATGAAATAGAAAAATAAATAACAACATGTCAAGGCTTTTTCATTTCTTTCTTTTTCTCTTTTTGGAACTTACCAAAACACACACACACACACACACACACTCACACACACAACCCAGGCCTGATTAGTTCAACATTTGGAGCAAAGAGGAGACATTGTGTATAATGTCAGCAAAGCCACATCAGCAAGAGACCCCGGGATACCGCTGAAGGGAATGTTTATCAGACAAATGTGTCTCAAAGATTCTTGGTACTTGGACTTGGAGGCACCTTTCCCACCCCTTCCTGTTTGCATTCCTCAGAGTCAGATTTCAGCTAAGGGGATGGAAATTAAATAAAGGTGCATTGGAGAAGACATAATTAGTCCTTAAATCATAGGCTCTCAAATTCATGAACTTTCATTGAAAGTTTAGCTAGAAGTCTTTAAAAAAATGCCTCTGGGGCAATCTCTCCATTTCCTCCCAAGAATTTAATGTTAGCATACACAAATAATTATTACTCAATAATGCCCTTTTGTGCCAAGCTCAGAGTTTCCCTTAGCTGACTTTTCCACCTGTGGAATAAAAGAATTCACAGTAACACCTTCATCCAGACCTGTTTCCATGCGAAGTTTGCTTCAAGTTTTCTCTCAGAGCATCCAACCCTTCTCTCAGTTGTTTCTTGCAATGGTTCACATTAGTAAACACATCACTGAACAAGACGATGTCAATCTCAGAGCATCCTTGGGTATCAGTCCCCTTTACATAAGAACCACCCTGTGAAGATGAAGGATATAATGTGGGTGAAACCAAACTAACCTTGAGGGAAGAATGGATTTCAAGTCGCAGCATTTTAGGGTCAATTAACATTGTGGAATAGCTTAAATATGTGCAGTTGAACCCCTTGGTTCAACTTGACAGAAAAAAGAAAAAGACGGGAGAAAGAGAAAGTAATCTATCATGGTCTACTGAGAACTGAGCCTCGCCTATGAAAAAGAAAGTATACTCTGCACAAAAAGCCTGCAAATCCCTGTGAAGATTTACAGCCAAAAGTTCTCAGACTCTTTCTGCTTAGAAGCCACTGGCCTGGAAGGACTCGATAGGGGCAGGAATCAAATTCACCACTGTACAGCCCACAGCTCACAATGGCAGTCCTCAGTCAACACCCAGGCAGGCGGCTCCAGCCTAAGTGCCGAACACACGCCCGACCCGAGCGAGTTCGAACCGGGAGTGACGACCCTTCCGGCGGATGTCGTTTGCTATGCTTCTAAATAGATCTCGAATGATTTTCCATCAAGTGTTCTGTAATTACAGTTAATGAGAATTTACTTCAGATCTCTTGCTAAATGTAATTTTGTAAAAGTCAAAACGTGAAGTAATCAACAGCACATCGCTGCCTTCTTGAGCACTCAAGGAGAACTTTAGGTTGCCAGTTCCCGAAAGAATCTCTTTGTCAGTTAAAACAAACAAACAAACAAAAAAACCTGTTACCTATGATTTGGGAAATGTCATGTCCCAAATAAGGCAAAAGCAATCTGTCAAAGGTGGACGGCGACACACACTGACAATGCACTTTCACGACAATAGAAAGCATTCCAAAGCTTGGCTCCAAAGTCGTTCTGTATCTGCTGGTCAGGAGGACTAGCTCAGAGGGGTGCCCTGTGCCACACTGTCTCTCCCCCACCCCAACTCCATTCTTAACACAGTTCTCACTAGTGCAACTCATTTATGAAACCTGTTCCCCATTAGAAATCACAGTGACAAGGGAATATGAGAAATGGAGTTTTTAGCAGCCTTAACCTGAGAGTTCTCAATACGCTAATGTGTACCATCAATCTCCAAGAATGGAATAAAGGGCACGACAATCCTGCTACTTAATCCATCAGCGGCTCTTGTTTTGAGCAAGCACCATGCAGGACCCGAATCAAACACTGGCTCCCGATTTCCAGCTCTGTGCCCGCACCTTGTGTCTACAGAATAATATACATTGTTTCATAGTCAGGGTTTTGCCATAGCTATCTTAAAGAAGAATTTAATCACACTCATAAATCATATTTGCTACTGAGTTACATTAAAAAAATCACTTTTGCTTTTAAATAAATGTATGGCTTAAAGATGATTTTATAACAATTATATGTGCATTTTGGGGGCATCTTTTAAAATTCTTTTTTTTTTTTTTTTAAGTAATGTCTACACCCTTTGTGGGCTCAGACTCATGACCCTGAGATTAAGAGGCTCCTACTCCAACTACTGAGCCAGCCAGGTGTGTGCATTTTTAAATGAAGGATAGAAAAATTATCATGAATAAAAGGCCCTCAGAACTGCCCTATATTTTTTCTCTAAACACTGATTCGAGAGTATGCACTGATAGTATTAATGTTACCAGTAACAGTAACAATAGGGAGGAAACCATACCATCCTTGTTATTGGGATCCCTTTCCTACGTTCAAGCCATTTTTCTTCAAGGAAATTTTCCATGCTCTGCGGACAGCCATTCCTGGACACACGGAGTTGTCTTTAAGTTGTCAGGGAGCCCATCAGCGCAGCACCTAATTATTTCCACAGGCAGACTGCTCAGCCATGAAAGAGGGCCCTGGGGGACAGGCTCAGCTCCTTTGCCTGAAAGCCCCTTAAGCATTTACAAATATCGGTCAAGTGTGAACCAGTTCCTTGGCCCTGCCAATGTAAAGGCACTTTCATCCCTTGGGCAAAACCTGCCAACCTTAATGGGCTCCAGCTGTTGCATGGTTGAGGGCCTGTTCCACCAGCCTGAAGCCTACCCTGGCATTTCAAAGGGCTCCTTGCAGGCCGTGTCACCCCATACAGGAGGCAACGCTGGCCTTTGAACATGTGGCCTTGCCCAGTTGATGTGCGTAACCTCCATAAGAGAAGAATGGCTTCCATAGGGCTGTGTGGCCTGGCCATAGGGCTGGGGGCTCAGATTACCTGGATCACTCGGGTGGCTGGCACCGGAAAACAAGCCTGGATCAGCGTGAGCAGGGCCCTGATCTCAGCCACACAGGCAGAGCTCAGAAGACCTGAGGCTGGGCGGATATTTTCATCTGCAAATCTCTGTAGCTCTTGGGGACTCTTACACTCCAACATATTATGAGGTGAAAATCCTATAGACATTTGGGCTGCATAGAGAAATAATCAGTATTTGATATTCACTGCACGGAAATAGATGTGTGGCTAAGGCAAGAATCTAATTTTATATGCAAATTACATCTAGTTAATCACCAGGACTACCTAGTTGTGATAAGTCCCTCTAGACTTAGCTGACATTTAATCCTAGGTCTCTAGAGAGAAATGGCTGAATTTTTTAAGAAAAAATATTCTGCCGTTCTTATGTGAGGAAAAAGAAATCTTTGCTCCAATTGACTAAATCACTTTAAGTTTCTAAATGAAAAACATATCTGTTAACAAGTTTCAACATAATGATCCCAGGGTACAGAATTCCAAGTTAAACCATCTATTAAAAGTCTGAAATTGTCAGCCTACAGGCCATATTCTGCCCACAGAATGTTTGGTTTGGCCTGCAGGGTGTTTCCAAAAAGGAAAAACTGAGTCAACATCTAGAAATCAGGAAATAGTACATTATTTTTAAAGAGGGACATCATAGGTGTGTGTTTGTTTTGAGCCGGAAGAGCTGACAAGACTGACCCCACCCTTCACAAGAAGGAAGTGAATAACTGAATAACTAGGTTCAGTGAAAGGGGCATGTGAACTAAACTGACAATAGATTCACAGGAGAAGAAGCATACACATTTTACCGATGTTAACATTTTTTTAATATGCACAGGGTTCTTTACAGAAAAGAAATGAAAACTCAAAGTAGCAGTGAGACCTGGGGGCTTGTATACCACTTATACAAAGTACAATAAATTGTGGACAAGTGACTAGACAAAGGGAAGGGATTTTGGGGCTTCTAAGGCCAATAAATTGTGGGAAAGTGACTAGGAAATATACAGGAGGAACTAATGGAGGGTAAAGGTTATTAAGGTTTGTTTATAAAGATTCATGTGCCATCTCTAGGTCTCCAGTGATAAAGGCTACTCTCCTGGTCCCAGTACAGGGGAGAGGGAGAATTGCTGGCTTGCTTTTAGGCAGGGAGAGCAGTTTCATTTACTGTGTCCCAACTGCCTCACCTCCAAATAATCAATACACCAAATTGGCATAATTTGGGGTGGCATATGCTGAGCCCCTTCAACAGCAAAGAAACTTTCATAATTTCTGCACTGGATGGACTAGGGGAAAAAAAAAAATCCCTGAGTATCTGCAATCACAAAGTGGCCCTCGTTCAGTTTTATACAACTAATTCATATTAGCACTGAGAATTAATTTTAGATTAGCCTCTGGCGAGAGGAGAGCTCAAGTGCCTTAAGGAATTCACTAATACTCTGGGAATGAACTTTCGACTGGACCTTCCTCCTCAAGCATGTAAGGAGCATTCACAAGAATTGAATATATATACTCAGCTACCGATAAAACTCAGCACATGCCAGAGAACTAATATCCCACAGATTACATTCTCTGGCCACTGCGCAATCAAATGAGAAGCCGGTAATAAAATAATTAAAAATACTCCATACTTTAAGAAATTTTAAAAACCGCAGACTTTAAATAAATCACCGATCACAGAAGAAATCATAATGGAAATCAGAACATACTGAGAACTAATCAGTAACAAGAAACTTTATATCAACGCTCAAGGGATACAGAGCCCCTTGTGTAAGCTTTATCAATTAAGCCAAGTTAACAGATCGTCAGGTTTTTTTTTCTTTTGACATTTTTATTCTTTTGCTTGAAACATAATATCCAATTTATATACTACTCTCTTTAGGGAAAGTTCATCAAAAAATGATTACTTTTCAGTGACATCTCTGTATCCAGAACCAATTATTACTTCCTGGAAAAATTTTTATTTTTTAGAAGACTTTCATAGAACAGCGGTCACCAGTTAGTTTAGAGTACAGAGCACACATAGGAGAGCAAAAGATCTAAGATCTTAGTTTTGTGGTTATTTTTGACATGGACAGACCATAACCTGACTCCCACCTGAATTCCTGACATGGTTCCACTTTTGACTACAAGCCCATAGAATTGTGTTGTATTGTCTCTTTGAATGATACCTTGGTTTCCCAGCTTCTTCCTCAAATTTGGCTTTGTAAAATTATTCTCCGTCCCTGCCACCCCAAGAGCGTGTAGTTCCGAGCCACATCCTGGTTCCATCCTCTCCATTTTCTATTTCCTGTTCCCAGAAGCAAGCCCTAAAGCCTTGCGCTGAGGGAAAACCAAAATATGGTTTCTATGTTGCATAAATATACACAGAGGGAAAGAGCCAGGCATCTTTTTTACCTCTCTTACTGGCTGTGAAGCGATGCTCTTGTATTTCATGGTTCTCCCGACTAAGGACTGTTCCAAAGCGCCTTGAACACATCCTACAGGTTTTTGATATTTCTGTAGCCATATGCCTTATATTCCTTTCTTCTAGATTTTCCCAGCTGAGCTTGTGTGTCTCCACGGTTGACCTCTCCTGTACAGACTGAGAAAAGTAAACATATAACATAGGAATTACAAGAGCTATTTGAAAGGTCTCCTCATCTTCATTTGGCTTCTCACTAAAGATGCTCCCAATCATGAGCAGAGGGATTCTCATTCTGTTTGCAAAACACAGCAAAGCCCATTCGTTCTTTGGATATAGATAGAACACTGTGGTAGATGAATAAATGAACCATGAGAACCACGGTGCTGGAAAAAAGACACATTTTTTTTTTTAATGGGGATGGGTTAGCCCGGTGATGGGTATTAAAGAGGGCACGTATTGCATGCAGCACTGGGTGTTATACGCAAACAATGAATCATGGAACACTACATCAAAAATAAATAAATAAATAAAAAGCACTAGTTTTGTTTTATAAAATCAGAAGAATGACATCCTGGCTCTTTTTCTGACGTTTACTATTTGGAAGCTTTGGGCAAATCATTTCACCTAATTAGGTCTCTGCTCCCTCATGTGTGAAAGGGGGAGGAGGAGGGAGGGAGGTACATTCAGGTAGCTCTAAGGTTACATTGAAAGTAAAAATTCTGGGGCTATGAGACTCCTATCACGTCACAAGCATTTGGGAATAATGATTATGACCACAGCAGCTGCTCAGGGTACAACACTTGCACCCCGTGAAATCTGCCGAGCATCCCCAAGGAATGGCAGCCCTGGGAGGGGGACCCTTGCTAGCGGGCTCCCAGACACAGTCACATGCTTCCCTGCTGCGTCCTACCACCTGGCCTATGGCCACGAGGTCCGTTCTGATTTTTAGTCTCCTGTCCATAAATCTCCATTAGGGGAATGAAAAACCAAATAAAAAGCAGGGGTGTTTTCCCCACTTGTACCTCACTGTGATCATGCAGTCTCTCCCTCAGGACTTCGTGGCCACATTCTTCGCAGTGAACTTTTCCAAAATGCTTCTGTCGAAGGTGATATCTCAGAGCCTTGCAGCTGACAAAATCTCTCCCACAGCACTCACATTTATAGCATTTCAGAGCCCACATCCTTTCCCAATGAAGTATTAGATGTAGATCCTACTGATGACAAAAACAAAAAGCATAAGTCCTTTGAAGAAAATCTAGTCCCTCACAGTTCACTAGGACACAGATGTTACTTCTAGTGTGCTAATTTGGGCTCGGTCCCATGAATGTCTTCCAAGAAATTTCTCCCTCACTAGAATCAAACACAGTACCTATTTAGATGAGCTGTTTGTAAACTTGGGCTTATAAACAGTAAGGAGGCTGTAACATCAGTAAAACCCAATGCAAAATCGCGTCTAGGTATATACGCACGTTCTTCTAGAAAGGATTTCAAGTGAATCTGTGACCCAAAAGACGTTAGTAGCTGCTGCTTTACTTAACAATCTTTACTCAAGGACTCTCCAAGAGCCATTGTCTCTTCAATTTTTACCACCCCATGAATTCCCATATTTGAGAAAGTTATCATGAGTAATGATTTATACAAGTCTTCTGAATCACTCCCTGGATTTCTAAAAGTAGTTAAAAACAAATAAAAAGTAGGGTGGGGGGATGGGTTAGCCTGGTTAAAAAAAAAAGAAAAAGATAAAAAGCAGAAGTTTGTACCAAGAGACACAGTCAGGAAGATGTTGGCGATTCCAGTCTCCAGCGGGCTGCCCCTGAAACTGTTTGTTTTTCTGGTTGCCAAGTAACTCTGCTTGCATTTGTAAAGCTAGTCCTGAAGCTTAGACTTCCTTCCTCAGAGGTTAGAATTCTGGGATTTATAGTTACCAGTGTCTTAGCAATTGATTAGATCCAACTTTTCTTATTTTTTTTAAAGATTTGCTTGTTTATTTTAGAGAGGCAGGGGGAGGGATAGAGACAGAAGGAGAGAAAGAGTCTCAAGCAGACTTCCCTCTGAGCGTGGAGCCCAACACAGGGCTTGATCCTGGGACCCTGAGATCAGGACCTGAGCCAAAATCAAGCGTCGGCTACTCAACTGACTGAGCCACCCAGGCACCCCAAGATGCAACTTTTCTAACTGTACTCATAAATTATTTTGCATTTGCTACTGTAATAAATTAGTACAAACGTCAGTGGCTTAAACACACAAAATTATTATCTGACAGTTCTGTAGGCCAGAAGTCTGAAAGAGGTCTCACAGGCTAAAATCTAAGCATTGGCAAGGCTGAGTTCCTTTCTGTAGGCTCTGGGTAAGATCCACTCCCTTGCTTTTTTCTCAGCTTCTAGAGTCAACCCACATTCCTTGGCTGGTGGCTCCCTTTCTCCATCTTCAAATGCAGCAAAAGTGAGTGGAGTCCTGCTCACATTGCATCGTTCTGATCTATCTCCCTTTTCCACTTTTAAGGACCCTTGCCACTCCATTGGGCCCAACTAGATAACCCAGGATCGTATCCCAATTTTAACGTCAGCTCCTGACAACCTTAAGGCTACCTGCAAACTTAATTCTCCTTTGCCATATAAGGTAACAAATTCAAAACTTCCTAAGATTAGGACATGGACCTTTGGGGGACCATTTTGTGCCAACTACATTGTAGTTCTGAACTTCAATCAGAAGCAGAAATGAATCCAAAATGTATCTGTATAAAATGAAAGAGAGGCAAACTGTTTCCCCTCCTTGCAAAAACGCCCAGGCTTAAATGGTTTTGGAGTCTTTGTCCCACAAATTGAGAGCTGCCGAGTATGTGTACTTCTCACTGAGGTTCGGTACAGCTCGCCAACTACAGGTCCTATCACATTAGAAGATGTGAAAACAGTTTAGTGGGTTGTGACTCATGCTTAAACAAAATCAAATAAGACAAAACTAGAGAATACTGAACATACTGAAGGTAAATAGTGATTTGTGAAACACTTGTTATAGCTAAACATATGCATATTTGTACTGGGTTGCAGGGTAAAAAGCACTTAAAAAAATCACAATTACACTAATTAGTTCATTTCGTATCTTCTCGGTCAGCAGAAGTTCCATCTCTTGTTTTATTTCCCTTAATCCCCCATCCTCCACTTTCATTTACCTCCTTGTCCCCCATAGGCAACCATTATAATGTGTTAAATGTGTTATCTTGTTTTGTTATATATATGTTTTTGTAAAAGATTCCTTACTCTGGGTTCATGTTTTTTATAATTTACATAAAACGAAACTAAAAAGATACTATCTATACTCTGGTCCATTGCTTTCATTGTTACAGAGTAATCTATGGTGATATCTACCATATTTGCTGTATATCTTTCTCGGGGTAGAAGTAAAAAAGCCTGAAAGCCACTGGTCTAGTGAGAACACCCAGGATTCATTGGAGACCTTTTAGAATAACACTGGAAGTTTTCTTCTTCCAAGTTACATGTCTAAAATGTCTGTTTAGTCTTCCTGTTCCCAGCCGTTATGATCTATGGATGTCACTGTTCCCAAACTTGGTCCTGCAGGAGGACGCAAGTTGACATATACCATAAACAGGAGAGTCCTTTATGCACTGATGCAAAGAGTTGTGGAATTTTTAAGCTGAAACATTCTCTTCCTGCCCTCTTCCCTGTGCCCTCCATCATTTTAATGGACAAGTATTTTAAGGATAGTTTGGTTGCAAGGAATATAAAATGGAATTTATCGAAAGGGTTTCGGGGATCTTGGAAAATCCAAGAGTGGGAAGTAAACCCAGACCTCAAGACCATCTATGTCCTTACCAAATTGCCTAAAGCAAGGTGAATGTTCAATAAACTTCGGTCCAGTAAATGGATGAATAGGTGGGTAGAGGAAGGAACTGGAAAATATTCAGAAGAGACAGCAGCTCCCCCTGATTCTAGGTTTGGCTCTGTAGTTCTGCATCTCTGCTTACCTATGTCTGCTTCCTTTGTCTTCTTCTGCACGAATATGTACACTTGCTCCACAGTGGCGCCCTTGTAGGGTGACAAGCTACCCAGTTTGCCTGGAACTGTGGGGGTTCTTGTGATGCAAGACGTTCAGTGTTAAAACCAGGAAAGTTCAGGCAGGCAAACCAGAAGGAGTTGGTCACCCTACCACTGCATCAGAGTGTGCCTTAAAAATCAGCTTCATAAATGCAGCCAATTCCCGTGAATTGATGGATTGAGTTCCTCCAAGCCCCAGTGTTGTGAAGTTTGGAGAACTTGATTGGATCTACCCAAACTGTGATTCATTTCCCCTACACCAGGTTTTCATTCCTGGGCCAATCAATCTTGACAGCTACAGTGAAGGGGGTAGGCAGATACATAACTCGTCCGTAAGCCTATGGACCAACTGGGCCAAGAAAGGGTGTTGAGGCAATGCTGGGCATTTGTAGTTCACAGATAGGACCTAGTACATCACTCAGATTCCCAGCATGAGCTCTCCATCCAGGATCAAAAGAATGAAGGAATGGTTAACAGTGGAATTATTAGACTTTCTCAATGAGATCTCTCTCCTCCCACCTTTCACTTAGTGTAATGTTTCCAAGATTCATCCATGTTGTAGCATGTATCATTACTTCATTCATTTTTACTCTGATGAGTAAAAAAACTACTCTGTTGAAGGGATATACCACTTTTCTTATTAATCCATGCATTAATTAGTAGGCATTTGGATTGTTTCTGCTTTTAGCTAATATGAATAATGCAGTGATGAACATCCACACATACATCTACAAATTTTTGTAGAAACATTGTTTTGAATTCTTGGGTATCTGAATGTGGGTCTTACAGTAACTCTATCTTTAACCCTTTGAGGAAGAGCCAAACTGATCTCCACATTTTACATTTCCACCAGCCAATGTGTGAGGGTTTCAATTTCTCTATATCCTCACCAACACTTATTATTTTCCAGTTTTAAATTATAACTATCTTCATAAGTGTGAAGTGGATCTCAAGAATTTTGATTTGCATTTCTTGATGAATAATGATGTTGAGTATCTTTTCATTTGCTTGATGAAATGTCTATTCAGATCCTTTACCTATTTTTTAAGTGGGTTGTCTTTTTATTGTTAAATTATATGAATACTTTATATATTCTGGATACCAAACTCTCATCAGATAGATTATTTGAAAATATTTTGTGCCATTCTGTGGTGTATCCATTCATTTTCTTTTCTTTTTCTTTTTTTTTTTTTTTTAAGATTTTATTTTTCAGAGAGAGCACAAGCAGGGGGGAGCGGCAGGCAGAGGGAGAAGCAGACTCCCCGCTAAGCGGGGAACCTGATGTGGGGCTCCATCCCAGGACCCCGGGATGATGACCTGAGCACTTAACCAACTGAGCCACCGAGGTGTCCCTCATTTTCTTGATAGTGTCTTTTGATGCACAAAGTTTTTAACTCTAATGACCTTGGATCCATTTCACTTTTGTTGCCTGTGCTTTTGGTGTTGTATCTTAAAAATCATTTCCCAACTGAAGGCCATGAAGATTTAGAACTGTTTTTCTTCTAAGAGTTTAATAGTTTTAGCCCTTACATTTAGGCCTTTGACCCATTTTGATTAATTGTTGATTTTTGTACATGATATGAGGTAGTGGTTCAAATTCATTCTTTTATATGTGGATATCTAGTTGTTCCAGCACCATTTGTTGAAGAGATTGTTTTTTTCCCCATTGCATTATCTTGGTACCTTTGTCAAAAATCTATGGACCGGGGGTGCCTGGCTGGTTCAGTCTCTGGGGCATGCAACTCTTGATCTCAAGGTTCTGAATTTGAGCCCCACAGTAAGTATAGAGATTACTTTAAAAAATAAATCTTTAGGGCACCTGGGTGGCTCAGTTGGTTGAGCGACTGCCTTCGGCTCAGGTCATGATCCTGGAGTCCCTGGATCGAGTCCCACATCGGGCTCCCTGCTCAGCAGGGAGTCTGCTTCTCCCTCTGACCCTCCTCCCTCTCCTGCTCTCTCTCTCTCATTCTCGCTCTCTCAAATAAATAAATAAATCTTTAAAAATAAATAAATAAATAAATCTTTAAATTAAAAAAATCAATTGTCCATAGCTGTATGGGTTTATTTCTGGACTTTCAATTCTATTCCATTGATCTATACATCTGTCTTTAGGACTCTACTACACTGTCTTGACTACTGTAGTTTCATAGTAGGTTTTGAAATTGTGTCACGTTGAGTCCTCCAAGTTCATTCTCCTTGCAACATTGTTATGGCTATTCTGGCTGCCTTGAGTTTTCATGGAATTTTAGGATCTGGTCATTAA